ATTTTACATTCCCGGCTGCCAGGAGGTATCTGCCAGCAGCAGCAGCAGCCTCTCATCACCCTGATGACCCCAAATGCCCTCGTCGAGAACCCCTGGCCTAAATGACTGCCTGGCTCTGGAGGGCAACATTTCTTGTTGAGCACTTGCTCTGTTAGCACAGGTTATCCTCAGTGAATACAACATCCTTAAGGGCTAGAATAGGTGTTCTCGCTTTAGGGAGAAGACTCCAAATGAGAAGTATACCCAGTCACACAGCTGGGAATGGCAGCTACTCTTCTTTCTACGATGTCACAGTACCAAGTTTAGTGATTCTAGCTGGTGAATGCTGACTGGCAAAGGGCTGTGTCTGGTTCTCTGGCAAACTCCCGGGGTTCAGAGGGCCTGGCACACAGCAGGTGTGCTAGCAGCCAGGAAAGGGCTGCTAGAGCTGGACCTTGCTATGGACTCATTAGCTCCTTGCTTGCTCAGTTTCAGTGACTTTAGAGCTTGAGTATTTTCCCACCTGCCCAATCTGAGCTGTGCTCTGCATATATGTTAAAGTAGGGTCAATAGCCCCTACTTTGGAGATAACCTACGTAAGTCTCTTAGCTAGGTGCCTCTTCTTCTGTTGGAGATGGTGACCAGGGAGGCTAGTACTGAGACCTGTCTGGGGAACTATCCCGGGAAGGGTGACGCCAGTGCCTGCTAAATGGGTCCAAGGCAGATGAGTTTGCTGGATTCCAAGAGGGCCACGCTTTGCAGCCTGTATGTATGTTTCCTGTGTGGATGCATGTTCTTTCCATATATGCACAGTTCACAGAATGTCCCTCAGTCTGTCCTGGTTCAGAGGACCCAATCCACCAGGTACATATATAGACAGCATAGTAAATAAAGGGCAGGATTTGGAGTGAAACCCACCAGGGTTGGATTCCTGGCTCTGTCACTCACCTCAAGTGTGACCTCAGGCAACAAAATTCACAGGCTGTGGTAAGGTTGTGCAAGTAAAACCCAGTGCCTGGCACAGAGCAGGTGTTCAATAAAGAGTGGCCATTGTTACGTGCGGGAGCCCTTCCTTCATCTACGGTTTTTCAGGATCGCAATGAGACATCTTAGCAATCCTGGGATGGATCACTATCCACTGTTGCTCACATGTTGTGTGTGTGTGTCTTCTCCCCATTTTACTGAAGGTAAAAACAAAAGCCAAAAAACAGAGACCTGGGGAAATGAAGACCATACAGCCGGTTGAGCTATGCAGTGTCCTTTCCTCAACAGGTGCTTATCTACTTATATGAGCTCCCAACTGAGAGAAGTACCAGTCTCTCTTCCCCATAAATCCCTCCAGGCCCTCAGCCCCTCGGGCATCCCTGGACACTTGTCAGCTTGGCAGAGAGCCTCAGCCGGGTTAATTATATAACCAGCACAAGCAGGTGGGGAGGGGGGCATTCTAGGGGAGGAAGAGAGAGGGCAAGGAATCAAAGATGAGTCCCCTGCCTCCCTCTGGGTGTGGCAACTTAGAAATATATATCTAGGATGTATCCTACCAGCATATTCTCCTGGACACTAAACTCCCTGCCCAGAAACCAATCCTTTTTGGAGAATAACAGGGAAATAAAAGCGAGGCACAGTGCTGGAGCCAGGGAGCTGTGCAAAAGAGGCCCCTAGGCTGGGGCTAGCCTCCTGGAACTCACCAGGCCCAAGCGTGGCCCTGTCCATGACTTAGAGGTGACCGGTATCCCCTCCCTCTTCCCAGGCAATGTCCTGGATGGGTGAGGGTGAAAGGGGGCTGTTTGGAGAAGCAGGGCCCAGCCCCTAAGCAGTCCCTCCCCAAGGCCTGCGCTCTGCAGTGAGTCTGCAGACAGCGCCCAGTCAAGAGACTGGGGGACACACACAGGGGCCAAAGCCAGTTTATTTTCCCCACCCCTTGGCCTGAACACCTGAGTCCCTGCCCCAGACGAAGGGTGGGTCCTTTTAGTCCCGTGCACCAAGTCACACGTCTGCCAGCTGTTTGTCCCCACCACGTTCATGTGGGAGTGAGTGGGTGGGGGCGTCGAAGGATGCTGGGCTCCCCATGACCTGATTGGTAGGAGTTGGGGGGGGGATGCCGGAGCCCAGCCTGCTCTCCGCCTCCAGCATCTAGCAGGCAACCCCCACCACCTCCAACCCTGCTCCAGCTCTCACGTGGCCGCCTCGAGCGGCTTCCCCCGCCAGCCTGCCGGCCCCCTCCTCCCTCCTCGCC